ATTTAGAGTTGTAAAATGGCGTTAATCCTGTATGGAGCAATAATCTAAAATCCTCCTAAATGAGGTGCCGGTCCAGATCATGACCGCTTGACCACCTGCGGCTAAAGGCGTCCAATCAATCACTCTGAATAACTTTAACACACAATGACCCCTCGTGAGATTTAAAATTTCTTTTGAACCAAATATAAAGATTTGGAACTTGAAGTGGTGTGATTACTTTTTAAAGCTCTAAAATTTGATATCATTACTTAAAAAAGATGTCATTTGCTAGCAATTTCCTACTAATAGGCGCACTATAAACTACCAACAAAAATATGCCGATAGTCCGCCCTACCGTCTTTCCCGATTCCTATACTTTAATGTTAATGTACCACAAACAGACAAGGCATAATGTTTCACGTCTTGCTTCTTGGTGTAATGATGTTTAGATTCTTGGAATTACTTGGGCGTTGACTCATTGTAAAGCCGCCACGAATATGCCCAGAAGAGATTCATGAACCATGTTGGAGCAAAGACAAAGTGAGGGAATTCCATATCAAAGTTGGAATTGGATTCAATGAAAATTAACGTGTAATAGACATTCTAATCAAAACGATGGATCACATAGGCAATTCCACGCGTTTTCATCGATTAAAAAGCTAAGTTTTGTCTCCCTTGGATACTTTTATTTAAAAAACGAGAAACTACTATATATTTGTTGGTATAGAAAAGTTTCTTCAGTATCAAACTTTGATGATTTACGATTATGACATCTGGTCACGAAAATTGACAAATTTCTTTAGAAGAAAGTATAAAAAGCTGCTGGATTTTCGTCCAATTTCATTTTCCCATTTACAAATTATATCTACTCATGATTTTCCAAACTTCAAGTTGTGAAATTTAGCTTCAAATGCTGGATAAAAATTCCAATTTAGTCAACTGATAACAAATTATGGGATCTTGGTTAAAAAAATTAAAAATTTGTACATAATACTATATAGAACCATTCAAGACAAAAGTTATTGAAACGACTTACATGTTACATAAAATGAAGCAATAATCAAGTGCACTTAGTTGTGATTTTCCACTTACATGTCACTAATCAGTCCTTTGCTGACAATTAGAGGTAAGAACATCCCTTCCCTTATGTATGGATTTGCACGTTATACTTTTAGGATGGAAAAGAAATGAAGAAGTTGTCCACCGTCCATGAGAGATGCTGTAAACTGGAGCAAGTATCGTTTTCAGATGATAAAGCTGTTTGAATGCACTTGCATTCGTCGGAGGCTTCAATAATATTCGTTGTGGGTATTGTCAAAATGTATCATGATCCGATGGTAAAGGTGTCATCTAGGTGGACAAAGCTGTTCGAATGCTCTTGCTTTCGTCGAAGACTTCATAGCATACGTTGTGGTTATTGTCAAAATTTATCATGATCAGATAGTCATCTAGGTTGAAGATATGGGGCTGATTAAATTGCAAATTTAAAAGCCCAAGCTTCTCGATATTTTTCCTTCTTTTTTGGGTCACTTTAGCATAGGCTTCAGCAAAAGTATCATGTCTTGTTAGGTATATTTGGCAAAATTGAACTCGTCAAACTCAAGTTCAGGTTCAATTTTATATTACTTTACATAAAATTGAGCAAATGGAATTTAATCAACTTCAATCAAACTTATGGAATATAAATTAATATTTGATATAATTGCAAACAAGAAATAAAATAAACATTTCATAATAATGCAAGCTCTAACTCAACTCGAGCTTGGCTTTGGTCAATGCAATTTCAAACTCAAGTTTTGACCGAACATGCTATCAAATAACTAAATTTAGTTTGACTCGATTGTACCTCAAGCTCTAAAGGCCATAGTAGTACCATTGAGCTAAAACTGCTTGGTAAACTTAATAAATTAAAATAGAGTAAATTTTATATAGATTGAGAGTATATATATTATTTCAGTAGGATACATGATATATATGCAAATTTTGGATTTCAAAAATTTCAAATTTAAATTTTATTAAATTGTCATGTATTTATACCTGACGATGTATATATTGTCAGTAAAATTCTTTCCAAAAAAAGTCAAAAGTTAACTTATATAATTGTTATATTATTATTTTTTAAATGTAATTGAGAGTGTGGCGTCTAGTTCAAGCGGTTTGGCCTTAGAGTTAACAGTGTTTTAACTCTTCTCCAATTAAAACATTGTTAACTCTAAGGTTTGGCGAATCTTTTGGTTTGTTTTTAATAATGGACAAGTTTGTTACAATTTTGTATAATAATAGACCCCAATATGTTTAAAATGCACACCCTAAAATACTCAAAATCACACAGTTTTTTTTTTCTTTTCTCTTTTCTTCTTCCTCCCCCTCACCTTAGTCACCATTGCCGCCCAGCACCTTCGCTGGCACCCTCCCTCTTTTTTTCCCTCTCTCTCTCTCTCTCTTTCGCCTTCTCCTCTCTCCCTCCCTCCTTGCTCTTCCTCTTATCTCCTCCCCTCCTCCTCCTCCTCCTGCTTCTCCTCCCTTCTCTTGCCATCCTTTATTCTCACCCCCACTTCCCTCTCCCTTCTCGGTGACATCTACTTGCATGCAGCTAGATTTGGTCGTGATCTAGCCATGTGCGACCAGAGGTCTTGGGTTGGAGGAGGGGAAGGGGGAGGAAGAGGAGACGAGGTGAGGGAGACGGAGTGGCGGGGCAAAGGAGAAGGAGGAGGGGGAAGAGGAGAGGAGAGAAGGAGGGAGCGAGGGAGGAGAGGAAAGAGGGACGAGGAGAAGAGAGGGAAGAAAAAGGAGAAAAAAGAAAGAAAAAGAAAAGGAAAAAGGAAATAAGAAAATTTTCACCAAATCCTTGAATACACAATTTTTTTATTTACTATTTTTATGATAAGCTATTAAAAGTTGTATACAACCTTCCCAAAATACACCATCTAAATGGACACTAAAATTACATCCAATTAGATGATTTACACTTCTATGTATAAAATTACAATGTGTACTTTCATTCCATCGATCTCAGTTTATTTCATAGATCGTATACTATATCTCTTCATAAGTTCAACAAATTCACTGCTTTATCAAATAGACAAATAAAATTTACAAAGCTGTTGTTGAAAAGGAAAAAAAATGGTTAACACTCTATATGAATGTTTTAAGGCCACTGGACAAACAATAGCTGCGTTTTCCTCCAGAAGAACGATAGCTTCGATATTAATCCTAGCATTCACGTACACATCATTGAAAACGTAGTTTAAGTTTTGAAAGCAAAACATACATTAACTGGAAAGCAAAAAAGACTAGGACTTTCTTTTCTAAAACTTTTTGTTTGACTTAGGATTCTTGACAATATTGGACAGTGCAATAGTACTGTGATAACTTATCTAGCTGCCATTTATTGATGCTTTAAAACAATGAATTTATTTGCTAGCATAATAAACGTATATCATAAAGGTCACTTTCAATGCGATAACGAGGAGGACTATATAGAAGATCAGTTTATCCAAGTGATTTACTTGAAGTCCAAGAGATGTAACAACTTACAAGTCTGTCTGTTACTTGGCCTTAAAGCCTTGAAGGAGATTCTATGTGAGATTATTGTACTTGGGGTAAGTCTAAACCAGATTATTCTACCAAAAAAAAAAAAGAAGTCCAAGAGATGAAAAGAGTTTTCAAATGTTTGTAAAATGATTCAAACACGTTAAGATTACAAATAAGAATTAAAATCCTATGACAGTACTATCATTGTAGATCATGTTGAGGTAATTTATACTACTGAGAAATTTAATTCTAGGTGATACAGAGATTAGCTAAGAGATCATAAGGTTTTATGTACCCCTTCATCATATACTAACTCAATAAACAGGTTGGATTCCATGCTAATTCCTAGCACTATTAGGTGGCTTTTTAAAAAAAAAAAAAAAGCAAATATATTCAATGAAACGAGTATAAAAAATATTACAAAAAATCGAAAAGTTACTCATAAAAGAAAAGAAAACAAAATTGAACTTCAGTGGTGGACCAAAGGTGGTACTGCAGCGCGTGATAAATCATAAATGACGTCATGCATGTCGTTGTGAGTCTAATTTGGAGATGGCACTAGTTTTAGTTCTTTGTTGCATGTGTTTAGTGCTTCCACCTGTGGTAAATGGTAAGGTAGCTTCTACTTCTTTGGCATTATGGAAAATTAACACTTAAACAAATTTAAAAAGATAATAATAAAAATGTATTGTTTGACACATGTATTTTAGAAATTGACAAAAATTACTCTTAAAACCATTAGTTTTATATGTTAGGGAAAAAAATCCTGTTAATGATGGAATAAAAAAAAATTAAAAGATGAAAAATATTTTTTAATACCATATAATGCTCTCACGTCATTTATTATTCTTTACATTTAGAGTTCATCTTTAATATACTGTCTAGTTTAGTTGCATGACAACTATTTATAATTTGAATTTTAAATCCAATTATTACACCGTTAGTGATAAAAAATTGACTCAACTAATTACGAAATCTCATTATTGTAGAACTTCTTATTGGCCTACCTAACGACGTGGACCCAATGGGGAAAAAGTGGCAGTCTGACAAAATCCTCTGTACGCTGCTTCGTTTCGACCTGGTGGTTTTGGTCATTTTTAACAACGCGTAACTTTGGTTGCACACGGTGTAATTTTGTTTGCACAACGTGTAATTTTAGTACAAAATTTTGCGGATTCCACACACATTCTGAAAATCGATATACAACTAGTGATTTGGACCGTACATTTTTTTGGTCAAAATCTGGCCGTGAACAGTTCATGCTTGGTCTGGGGCTCCACATGACTGACATATGTTAATTCAGGTCACTTCGTCAAGAATGCTGCGCCAGCCATGACCTACACTATTTGTCTATACATATATTTCGAAATCTTAGCTATCCAAACTCTCTTGTAACATTCCACCATATTATCCTCTCTCGAGTTTGCTATCGTCTTGTTTCTTTAGCTGTACTTGATCAAATTTGTCTGAGAATTCCAAGTAGGGCTATGGAGAATAATTGTTCTAATGATGCTCCAAGAAAGCTTGATAGAAAGACTATTGAGAGGAACCGAAGAATTCGCATGAAAGGTCTCATTTCTGAGCTTGCATCTCTTGTTCCTCCTCAGCATTTTAAACCATCTAAGGTGTTTTCTCATTCTCTTTTTATTTCTCTGCTTAAATCTTCTTTACTTCTTACGTTTCTGATTTTGAGATGATTAATGAATTTTCCTTCTCATTTTGGCATGGATGAAGTACTAGGTTTTGATGTTTGGTAAAATTTCCAAAGCATAGAATTAGTTAGGATATATGATTAGGGTTTAGAACTGCGGGAAAATTTATTGCAGTAGCTAGATTACCTTCATTTTAACAAACAATTGGTGGTTTTTTTTTCTATAGAGATAAATTATCAAAAGAATTCTACGATTACAGAAAACTTGAGGGAAAATGTCATTTTCAGACGCTTTACTTCAGAAATTACACTGAAACCATTTTTTGAACTTTAATCTTTTAGTCCATTGTTAAAACCATGATTTGGTTTCTCTACAATTCTACAGTATTGGTCAGAATGCATCAATAAGAAATGAATCCAGTTTGTAACATTTTTTCTTCACAACAGCAAGACTATAAGAGTTTTTTTGTAACTATTGGACCAACTCCAACGGTTAGTTTGTAGCATCATATAATCGTTCATAAGAAATTATTTGATCTGTCTCAACAATTCTTGTTTTCTGGTAATTTAGGTTGCAATAGAATAACCTATTGCCCCCCATCCCCCCCTGCCCCCGGTGCTTTTGAAAGAAAACCACCTTGCGTAATGGAGATTTTGGCATATCACTGTATGTATTGCTAAGAGAACGAGGCAAATTTCATGGAGGTGTTACATGGTCCTATGACCTTAATGACCTGCGAATCATATTGGTCACATCACTTTGAAATCTTAATATAAGCAAAACTTTGGCCTCTCTACTCGTAAATTTCTAAGAGATGATTGTTTAAGCTATTATAATATGATTTGCACCCTGCCATTTTGTTTCTGTTAGAAAGAAACGTGTTCCATGTGGAGAAAATGCCTTGGCGAAGTTCAATGTATTATTATAAGAGCCGTTGATTACACAAACAATATCTATACCACCGATATGGGACAGGCTGAAAATCATATTACAATAGCAAGGTTATGTGTCCCCATTAGATGCAAGGTTAATTGTCCCGATCTGATAAACACATTGAATCTGAACTTGTTTCTATACTTCATTGCAACATAAATGTTTGAATTCAGACAAGTATCTTAAAGTCTAGTTGTTTCTTTCCAAACTGATAATTATTGCACTGATCTCCTAAGTTTGTTCGGTTAAGTGTTAAATCTCAATTACGATGCCAAAATTGTCCTTTTTTTTTTTTTTTTATCAAAATGGAAGAAAGATATAGTATCATGGGGGCATGAGATTTATTACGTGATATCAGAGACATTTCAATTTCACAAAGCTTCTCATACTCAGGGATTTGATTTGTATTGCATTTGGCTACAAAGTTTAGAGTCTCTTATATGGTAAATGCAGGAGATGCTAAACCAAAAGGACCAGATTGACCAAGTTGTTACTTATATCATGCAATTGAAAGAAAGGGTAGAGAAATTGAACAAGAGAAAAGAGAAGTTAAAAAGCGAACATCAAACAAAGGGTACAAATCCCAGAAATTCAGCCATTCCGAGCTCAAGAATTCCAGTTCTGAAAATCATGGAAAGTGATTCAAGCTTAGAAGTTGTTTTAGTAACTGGTTTAAGGAAGAACTTTGCTTTACATGAAGTCATCCAGGTTCTTCATGGACAAGGATTGGAAGTAGTTAGTGTCAGCATTTCTACCATCGAGGAAAAAATTTATCACATATTGCACGCTCAGGTGATTATCAACCTTTCTTGTTTTAAAAGAAAGAAATGTCGAATGTCTACATAGTTTTCAACTTTTTGCGGATTAGAATTAGGAAGATATTTAGCACACTAAAGAGATTTGAAGCCTAAATTGACCTCTCTTCGTCTATTTTCTTAATTTGCAGGTGAAAGTTCCCAGATTAGGCGCTGATACTTTGACAATTTACGGTAGATTGCAGAAGTTGTTTAACTAGTACGTATAGTCCCTCAACTTGAACTCATGATCTTAGTTTGATCTCAACTTTTCCAATCGGATAATAAATTTCTTAACTTATAAATTTAATTCTAAATGGCCTTTCAAAGTCAAATCTAAGTATGTATTTTTTACTTCCCCATCCCCTGAAAACCGCCCCAAGACTTTATTTAATGTTTATTTTCCAACTCCGAGTTAAAAAAAAAAGTCATATTTGCCCCTTTGAATGGTTTTGATCCAGTATTTAGTACCTAACTTGACTAGCAAAAATTGACAAAACTATTTATCTAAAAATTTACATAAACCAAATAAAAATTAAAAAATATTGGAATTTAGAGGAGGAAAATACGCATGTATATAGCATCAGGAGGTAAAGTGAAAATTAACATATATAGATTTGGCTTCAAAGGAATTTAGAATCAAATTTATAAGTTGAAGAATGTAGTGGATATTATTAGAAGTTGAGGGATGAAATAAGATCATGGATAAAGGTTAAGGGACTATGGAAGTCAATTATACTACGTTTTATTTTTGCAACAAAGCGATGAAGGGAAAAGAAGATATTGTTTTGAAGATGGTGGGAAAAATAAATAAATGAATAAATAAAAAGGCATCCAATAATTGCTCAAAGAACTCTGACAGTCGGGCTTTAATTGCATGAAGATTGGATTTCAGAGCATGAAAGCTCCTCCAAAAATTTGAGTGATGGACTATTGTTTTCGTTCCCTCACAATTTTTGAGCCTTTATTGATGCAAGGATATCGGACTTTTATTAATATGCATGGATACGAATCATGTTTCATCTTTCGTTTGCTTTTCACAAGAATAAGAATGATGTAAAATTTTATTCCTTGATTCTCTGTATCTGTGTCGTTGGACGAAACAGTTCTTAAGAGTCGTTTCATGAATAAAGGTATGTTTGGCCAATGAATTAACATGTTAATCCTTCAAAAAGGAAGTCCCACTAGCAAGAAATAGTTGTTCAACCACATATAATTATTTTAATCTTATCAGTCAACCAACTAACAAATTGAATGCTTAATCACACTAAAACACCCTCGTAATTCTAGGTAAGTTGCATTTTGCTCCCTAAACTCATATAGTCATCAGTTTGCCCCATCTGACTACTCATCAAAATTCTTTTGTTAATTTTTCTATCGAAATAGACATTATAATAACCTTTGTACCCTTGACTATTACATCCCCCGGTTAATTTTTTTTCCTTGTATGACCACATGTTCTTCTCGATACTATTACTATTTGCATATCTAGAATCAAATTGTAGAATTTGCTAAACTCATCATTTTATTCTACTATATTTGTTTTGCTTTTGTTATTGTTTTTCCTTTTAATGATTGACTAATTAAAACTTCTAGCTTGTTTTATAGTGAATATGCCAAATATGCTTTGAAATTTAGCAGTGTTCTAATGAATTATTAATGGTAGTAAATTAACGAATAATCAAATGTAAAAGAATGAGTTAAAGGGAAAGAAATGACAATACCTGAGGGAAGGAAATAATGGCATGAAACAAAGAAGAAAAACAAACTAGAGTCTAGAGGAAAGTATCATTAACCTTTGCAGTTAATATTTTCATATCTTTTTAGAAGGAAAAACTAACAAAGTTTTTAGATTATTAAATAAAGGGGGCAAAGTGTTGTAAATGAAAAGAAAGCACAACTACCCCTAATTAAATGGGATTTTAGTGTAATTTAACCTAAACCTGAACCCTGAAACCTGCTAGGTACAACACAAAATTTGAACATTGAACCTAGTAGCAAGAAAGATTTTAAAAGCCCTTCCCTCACTAGTAGGCCAACCTCAGTGATTGCTAAGCATGTATCTTTAGTCTCATACACAAAATATGCTTCAATTCCTTTTTTTTTTTTTTTGGTAATTATATGTTAGAAGTTAATCAAATTACTAACTAATAGCGTGCCAATATTGGGTACCAACGATTATCTAGTTGTGTAAAATTGACCCAAATTATTCAAATTGTGGGACAAAGTCCTGTTGACTAAACATTAGTCCTTCAGTTATTATTTTAAAGAAATATTCAATGAAATTGTTCTCCTCTACCATATGCAATTTAGTTTGCAATTTTATCTATATTTTTAGTCTTTTTTCATTTTGATAACTTGACATACTTTTGAGTTTTCTTTCTTTTTCTTTTGCTTTTTTTCTAAAAACTCCTTTTTTCAAGATAAAAAGTCTGAGGCTATTGTGAAGGGTATTCTAATCGTTTTGCAAGGCTAAGGAAGACGAGTGATATTCAGAATCTGATAGGAGCTAATTGAAATGGTAAGAAACCTCAAAGGATTATGTAAGAATTTGAGAATTGCAATGAGCTCAAAAAAGTAAGCAATAAGCGCGCTGGGCTACTTTTTTTTTCTTTTTTTTTTTTTTCCAAAAACGATAGATGAATATATTTCTACTAAGAGAGAATTTACAATATATGAGCAAGGGCTCAAGTTTTGCTTTACAAAAGTGTACTAAGACACTGAGAATCAAAGAACTCCTCATCAAAATAGATGTGCATTACTTGCTTATACAGTTTATAACTGAGTGTATTAGTACTACCATTACTAGGCTGGCTAACAAATGAGCATGTCCTAAACATTAAACTTAGATCATTGATGCATTCAAGATGGCCTGCTATACAGATGTTGGTTGGGACTTGACAGTTTATCAACTTTAAAGTCTGGTTACATGATGTCTGAACCTGTATGTGTTGCCAGCCGCGTTCCTTTAGCTTACAAAATGCCAATTGTATAGCCACCAAATTGTCCAAAACAGCTGATCCAGTACTTCTTTCCCTGAGCATCCACGCTGCACCAATCTGGTTCATTGCATTTGTTGCTGTGCTTCATTTCATTGCGCTGGGCTACTTTCCTGTGCGCTTATTGACTAACGAAGTGATTGCACTACAAGATCCGAAACCATGAGTGCTTTGGGATCCCAAACTAACACCTCCTCATGGTTTGGGATCTTTTTTGGAATAGCCGAAGTGGAAAACACAAACCAAGTTGGACACCTTCAAACCCTGGTATCTTTTGTAATCAATTCGGAAGTATAGAACAACTAAATTTACACTAAAAATGTGTTATAAACCCTGGTATCCATTGAAAAAGGGATTAAATTCCATTTTGAACTAACTCGGAAGTTCAAACTCCATCTGTAGTAAAAAAAATTTAAAAGAGATGTCAGAATACCTCTTTGGTATAATCAGATTTGAGTTTCTTTAGACTTTTCCTCCCTATATACTAAGATAGATTAGGAAAAATAAATCCTGGTATCTTTTGTAATCAATTTGGAAGTATAGAACAACAAAAGTTTAAACTAAATATGTGTTATTCTTTGGTGGAGTTGAAGTTTAAAAATTTGAAATAACTTTTAAAAGAATGTTTTAATTTTGCAAATGTTTATTATTCAAAGTCAATTATTTTTTTGGGTATATATTCAAAATCAATTCTGATATGCTCAAAATTATGTTTTTGACGATGAAAAGCGATTTTATTTACTGAAGATTGCCTTGGATTCAATTCATCGAGCTTGATAAAAAACAGTTCCAAATTGTTGCTGGTTTTGGAATATTTTGAGTTAAAATCAGCCTTTTAAATCATTTTACTCTTACTATAAAAAGTTCAAATGGCTACCGGATTATGGGAGTCACAAATTGAAACCTATCCAGTTTAGACTGGTTGGTGAAATTATTAAAATATTTAGTATAAACTAGTATAGTTTTAGTGTAATTGTCAAAATTAATTGTATGAGTTAATAAGTGCCAATTAACACCTAACTTATACGAGATTATACCAAATATATTAATAATTACACCAACCACTTTGAACAGAACAAAATTCAATTTGTGAGGCTCCCAGATCCAATGGATGTACCATGGCAGCCATAAGTGGCAATGAAGAGGATTTGGCCTACTTGGGTCTTGTCGTAGGTGAAAATCAATCAAATTCAATTCTCTATTTTGCAAAACTCGAAAAGTAAAATGAACTCACAAACAAAATTATAGCAAGTAGGCCCCGGGATGCAGGTGTAACGTTGCTCCGCGTGTAGATAATGTCTGCAAACTTTTAGAGTGAACACCAAAGCTGTAACAAATCATGTGTAGATTAAATTTGTTAATAAGATGTTAATTGACGAAAAGCATATGCCCTCTAGAAACAACAATAAAAGTGGAGCTGAAATTAGATTTTGTTTCAACTCATAAAAATTCCTCTCACACTTTAGAGTCCATTTAAATTTGGCTCAATGTTTAGTCAAACGAGTTAAAGGAATAACAATATCTAAAAATCCTTCTTCACTTCAGTGGCAGAGCTAAAAGGCGTCAATGTTGTTGGTCACAACCGTTTTTTAACAGATTGTAATTAATATGCTTTATCATTGTAAACCATTTTGTAGAACATATAATTTTACAACAATATTTAGTGGTCTTGTTAAAACCGATGCAGCGGAACGGAAAGAACAAACAAGAACAAGTAAGAACAAATTTGGGAGAAATCAGATTTTTATTAGGATTCGGAATGTATCAGATGTTTTTTGTACAGAATGGATATAAGGTATATATATACAACCAAAAAATAAAAAACGGATTGAACCATTAGGCCCCAAAAACGAGACCCAAACTAAAACGGATACGAGACCCCTGAACAATTCAGCGGGGTTCGAAGATCTGATTCAAGGCATTTCAACAGGTCTTAATACATTGCATGAAAAAGAAAAACATCATTTTATCAAAGTTGTGCGTTCTTATAGTTTAAAATTTATGCAATCATGAGCATGAATCGTCTAGGAATGTTGCACCAGCAACATTTTTTAAGTAAGGACATTAGCTGAAAATTTATATTCTTTTTTATTTTGATTTTCAAATATTACTTTAGTAAAAAAAAAAAAGAAAGGTTTTCAAATCATTACTTTAGTGAAAAATAAGAGTTTTTCTTTAGCAGAAAAAAAAAAGAAAAAAAGGTAAATATAAGAAGAAGCACG